CTGACAAAATGAGACGGCAAATGTGCAGTTGTCTGATACCCCAATCTAATCTGACCGACCTATGATTGAAGGGGAAGATAGTTGTGCGGCGGTCTGACGCCACGACCTAACCTAACCTTATCATTAAATATAAAATTATCGAATTACTACATATTGAACAAATTTCCAAATTTAATAAATACGAAATTTGACCAAAAAATTCTAAATTTCTAATATTTTCTAAAAGAAAATTTAGAATATTTTAGGACTGGATAAAATTTGAAAAAAAAAATCTAAAACTTTGCGAATGAAACAATTTCAGAACATTTTAAAAATTAAAAAAAGAAATTCTAGAAAATGTTCAGAACTTAGAATTTTTCCCATAATTTTAATCTGGTAAGGGCCCCATCTCCTTATCCCCTCACATGGGTCTCGATAACCATCTCCCTTGTACCCTGCCAATTCCCTAACTTGGGCATTTTAATCCCGAAGACGAGGGGCTGCAAGTTCCTTCAAAACATCGGCGGCCCCTACAAGACAAACGGCATCACGACCTAGAACATACGAGAATGACTACAGAAGCGAACGGTATGACAGTTCCCTGCAGTTGTCGTTCTTGCACTTACGTATGTCGATGCCCTTGACAAAGCAACACGTAGACAGTGCCATGCCGTCCTGGGGTGGGTAGTTGCAGCAGTCAGAATGTCAATAGGGGTGAAGAAGGGCCTCAAATGTGTACATTGAGTGTTCATGAGCGCAATTAATTATTCACCGTGATGCAGTCAGAAACACACGACTGGAAACAGCGCCATATGTCCAACACCCCTTCCCCCACAACATCAGTTTGTATGTGTAGACATAGCCGCTGAATTGTACTCACCCCCTCGTAATATCAACACAGCCCCTTCTCTATCGGTAAGTTAGTTGTGGTCTTACGTCAACAAGCACGGCTCATTCAAATTCCTTCCCACAATAGAGGGCACTTAACAACTAAGCGAATATCAACACGCTTATGAAAAGTTGGAACTGTTAATAGAATAACGTTACCCTATTGTCGTACTTTGACGGCTTCTGGACGTTCACCAGTTTGGCTACTGTTGGATACATTGCTGACGGTGACATGTGGCCCGATTGAAGGCCAAATACTTTGCTTTATTTTTCTTTTTAAATTCCCTTAGTGGGGGGGGGGGGGTTCAGATGGGTCCACTCGGCACGTCGGCCACTGATTGGCCTATTGTACCTGCCCCGGGTGATTATGATGATGGAGAATTTGGTGGAATGAAGATTGGCAAGGGAACCGAAGTACTAGGAGAAAACCCGCCCCCGCGCCATTTTGTCCATCATAAATCCCACTTGACCAGACCCTGGACCGAACCTGGGCCGCCGCGGTGGGAAGCCAGCGACTAACCGCTTGGGCTATGGACAACACGCATTTTAATTAAACAAAATTTTAATGGAAATTTTGAGGGATTCATTTTTAAATATCTGAAGTAGTGTTAAACAATAATTTCGATAATAAAATATCGTTCGGTGAGGGTTTATCCTGTACAACTTAAAGGGACTGAACAAACAGAAAATAGGTCTTCCTTTGCCGAAACGTCAATATCACGACATGGCCCGCATCATCTGGCTCCAGTCTTACTTACATTTGGATAGACCGTCGTTTCGTTGGCTTTCCGGTCTTTCTGTCCCCTAAGGTACGGCATAACTATATCCATGCTTCTTTAGGCAGTCAAAAGTAATCCATTCTGTTTACAGTTTCTATACAGCTTCATCCATATCCCTGCATTTCCTTCTTCAGAGGGAATTCTTTCGAAGATTTTAGTCTCACTGAGCTGATTCAAGACACGGTCCAAAAGTAGGCTTTTGTGACTCTGTGATGAAGTCTCTAATTTCATGGCTGATCATCTACGAGTACCAGGGCCTAACTGCTCAAAGTACACCCATTTAGTTAATTTAAAGAGATTAAAAAAAACATTCATTTTTTATTATTTGATGAATAGTTTTTCGCACAGATATAATCTCTGCATGAAGCTAAATATTATCAAAACTGTCTTAACTCTCGCAGATGGTTCGTGCTGTGCTTGGTTTGTATACCTTATCTTGTGTTAGTGTAGGTGTGCGGAGATAGGTAATAACTCTATCGAATGGGTCTAACTGAGTAGGCCAGGTTACGTGCGATTTGTGGCGAACAAAGTGGCACTGAGGCAGGTTTCCTCAGGGTACTTCTGTTTCCCCGGAGAATTCTTTTTCCACCGACTGTCCAATGGTCGTCTATCGTCCGGGAATCCTACAATAGGCCCTTTAATGACTGGTGTATCAAATGTACTCTAGCTGATCCCAGTGGCCGCCCGGTCTAAGGCATGAACTGTCTTCGCTCGCTCGAACGCTGGGATCGTGGGTTCGAATCCCTCTCAAGGCATGGATGTCTGTGTTGGTAGCGGCCTTGCGACGGGCTGATCCCCCGTCCAAGGAATACTATCCACTGCGTATAGGGTTAAGAAACTGAAAAAGCGGACAAGGCCCAGCAAAGGTCTGCAGAGCCACAATAATAATAAGTGGACTCAGTCTTACCCCACCTCATGCAATAAAATAAATTAATTATTTAATTAATATTAATCCAAGATCGGCTATGAAAACAGGGATAATACAGGTGCCAGGACGTCCAAGTAATTCATTACTGAAGGAATAATAAGAGGATAAAATGAATGAGAGAAAGGTTGCCTGGAAAAACAGATAATGAAATAGAGAAAAATCATAAAGGGGATGATAATAATAATGATGAATATGATGATAATAATAAAAACAATAAAGTAATTCTCTTATTTACTATTTATGAGCCACGTCAATAGTTACAAGGCCAATTAAAGAAGAAGAAGAATACAAAATTAATATCCACCATAAAGTAATATAAATAATCCAATTAATTCTCCCCCTCCCTCTGGATCCCGTGCTCGAACAACAATTTCCACGTCCAGTTTTGTAACAACACGACCTTGCAACATGCGAACAAAAGACCGTGCACAGGGTAGTCCCCGCTTATCATGTTTTGACACAAACGTTGTCTCGTAGTAGAGCCAGCCTCAGTCGCGACGCTCAGCCGCAGGGAGACCACAGCCCTGACACTGACGTCAGACTACACGCACGCACTCACATAAATTGGCACAAACATATGAATAAGCGCCGTGTGTTGTGGGCAGAACCGCAGTAACCGTGTCGTGCCACAGCAAACCACACTAGGGACTCTGGAGGATAACATTAACTTATCTCTATAAACTCTCCTGACGCGCAAGTTTCTACTTTCGTGACGAGTGTCACATCATTTTCAAATATCCGTCCTCTATACAGAATGTCGCCTGATAGTGTAGCAAACCCACACCTGCAGACCATACAAAGTTGAGTATCGACACACCCGCAAGAGAAAACCTTCATATACACTTCAATACCACGTTGGTATCAATATACGAGTATATCAAGAAACTAATTATACAAGTCGTAACTACATACTTACTCACAACACGCCAAAAGTCTTGAACTGACCAATCACGGCACAAAATAAAACAAAACAATAGCAAACTCCGTGACCTGCAGTCCGCAATCGAACTATACCGACCGAGCGACCGCTGCTTGTCGGTGAAGTTAGTACCAACTTTTTCGGATAGAGGGTGTCGTGTGGTCAGAGCAATGGATCCCCACTGCCGTTAATCTCGGTTTTCTAGACCGGAGCCGCTATTTCCTTGAAATAGCTCCTCAGTTATCCTCACGAGGCTGAGTGGACCCCGTTCCAGACCCACTAGTGTAACCGTTCCACTGCTACGCAACTTATTTATGTAATCAACTTTATAAATTTGAAANTATTTAAAATACATCATAGTCCTGACGGTTAATTTTGTGATGACTGCAAAAGAAATGTTTCCGTCTAGCTAACGGACATTTACAAAAACATGTTATTTAATATCGTGTAAGGACAACGTTGTTTTCGATATCAGTTCTCTCTCTCTCTCTAATTTGATGGAAATCAAAACACGCTCGCAAACTGTTTGCAAGACCTCATTGTACAATTTATTCGTTGGATGTTTACCTTCAAGCATGATAATACGCCTCCCTGCACTGAAATACAGGATGAATCGTATAGAACCGGCCCGATGAATTTGCTAATAATTCCACAGGTGATGCATATAACCGCTCACAATTACGACATAATAATCCGTGGGCCGTGCTGAGTCGAATGGTGTGCGCATGATCCGGCAAGTGGCAGCCATTATGCTGCAAGGTCAAGGAAATCCCGAAACGTGTCTGAAGTGCGCAGGCGTCAGTCATGGAGTACACTGTTGAACAGCGAGTGTTTCTAATGCCTACTTGAAAACGGCGGACACTTTCAACACCTGCTCTGATCACGGCACACAATCCAAGATAAGATATGTGTAAATTACTTTAATATCTGTATGGTATATTTTATATTACAGCTCATTTCGTCGGGCCGGGTCTATATGAATCACCCTGTATTTTAAGTTGAGGTTTATGATATCACTATCATACTAGAGGAAAAAAAAATGTTTCAAATAAAAGACTTAGGCTTTTTGAAGATCTGCTGTTTTATACCGCGCAGCCTTGTCTTTGTCCGTCGATTTCTCCTCGAGCAACATCTACAGTTCGGTTTAAACTTCGCGTAATGCTGTGGTTAAATGGGACTGCGTGGACCGAAATTAAATTCGCTACTCAGCTTTTAGTAAATATACATTCTGCATAATATTTTGTTGAACTCTCTTGCATAGTTTATGGATTATAAACACGCTATGAACGTATACCCAATTCTTCTCCATTGTGCTTCCATTTTATGTTCTCGGTGCAGAGGATGTATATCTAATTAAATTAATTTACCCATACCGAAGCCATACCAGAAGCATCAATCCAAGGAACTCAAAGATGAAGATTACTGCTAAAACTAGTGTTAGCTGCATGTTCCTTATGTACGTATTATCAGCATGTTACGGTGGCGATCTGAAGAAATGCAAACTCACCATGCTCACCATGTCCTGGAGATAAGGAAGAGGTTTCCAAACAGAAGCTATACTCACCTGCAAAACGAAAGAAGCAAAATGTAAGATGACTGTACAGAAAACAGGGTAACAGGTTTACTTTCAATTACAACAATGTCCGGTGACTGGGGGTGTTTCGTCACAGCACGAACATTTATCAAGAATGCAAACCATCTTCGACAGGTAAATGTTAAAAAATAATCTAAAGCTGTCACTGTAACAGACTGTGTAGACCCATAGGGTTGTGAGACGTCGAGGCTCCCACATTTTCTAGACAGTCGGCTCACAGATGGCGGTAAGGTTGTCAGCCTTAAGGGGCCCATACACGTACGAGTCTGGCTCGCGAGTCCGGCTCGGCGAGCTTGACTCGGGAGCCGGGCTCGGATTAATTTCACCACAAACGCATCAGCTGACTCCCAACTTTGCTAGTACATTTCTGTATCCAGAATGGGTTCATCAAAGCAAGTTGCAGCAGCAGTGATAATACTAGATGAATGCGGTGTGTTCGGGAGAAAAAAGAATAGAAAAAGGAGGGAAATGTGGGCCAAGAACTGGTTGTTAAGTACAGACAGATTTACACATTTAAATTTATTGAACTTTATTAGAAATGATAGACCTGAAGACTAAAAAAACTACTTCAGGATGTCAGATGAAAACTTCAGGTATTTGCTAGCAAAAGTAAAACCGTTCATAGTGAAACAAAGATACTATGATGCAAAACATTTCCTTTCTCTTCAGATACTTAATCTTACATACAGTGGGTAGGACCACTACAGACACAGAATAAACGTAGACAAACATCCATTCCTCGAGTGGGATTCGAACCCGCGATCCCAGTATTGGAGCGGGCGAACACATTTCATGTGGCCGGCTGACATAACAGTAGTGAGAGTTAATTCCTAAAGTTGCTTATTCCGAGTGACCCTTCATGTGGAATCAGGGCCGTGTTTTATGGCTGGACATCCCTTTAGCTATGGCTCTACAAGCCCTTTGTTGGGATTTATCCGTTTTTGCAGTTAATCCTATACACAGTCGGTAGGACTCCTTGGACGGAGGATCAGCTCGTCGCAAGACCTCTAACTATACACAGAACAACACAAACAGAATAAACGCACACAGACATCCATGCCTTGAGTGCGATTCGAACTTAAGATCCCAGTGTTCAAAAGGGCGAAGACGGTTCATGCCTTAAACGGCGCGGCCACTGTGTCGGCAGGCTACTGCTGAAACATGCACTGAATGCTACGAAACAAGCATAAATCAATAATTGCCGACGTCCTAGAACTTAAATATGCAGCATGGGAGAATTCCGGTCTCCTTTGTCCCTTAGTACAAGCATGTTATTCTTTTATTTAAACCATTTTCGTTTGTTACTGCATTTCCATGGTAACGTGTAATATTTGTTATATGCGTGTGTGCGGGCGTGCTTGCGTGTGAACGTTTATATAAGAATATGTACGTGCGCGCGTTTCTGAATGTGTGGGGAGGGTCTGCGCTTAGAGACGCGTATGTAACCTACAGCTACTTGAGATTTTATAAATCCAAAGTCCAGCGGATGTAACATGAATATATAACTGTCAAATTTCTAGCTAAAGAACAAACTGCCACACACCCATACATAAACCCCTTAACCGCAAGGCGGAAGCGACAAAATGGATGCTGGACTGCAAAATGGCGACCCTATCTTTCCAGTCCTATGAGCGGTGCAGATAGAACAGAGAGAATACCAATATATTTCTTGTCGAAAATCTACAAATGTCTCAGCTTAACCGTTGAGAGACCTTTTACACCGATCTTAGTGCATATCAAATGTGTCCACAACGGAAGGGTCAAGGTACTTAAGAAAAGGTATCAGTCGGTCGTAACAATGTCAACGACACGATCTGCTCATCAGTAAAGACGAGAAATTAATATTTTCGTGACGAAAAACAATTAACCAATCCAAGTGACAAAGATATTTTTCTTGTTCAACTAACTCCATGGACACGTGACGACATTATTATTATTATTATTATTATTATTATTATTATTTATTTATTTATTTAAATTGCAAATGGGTTTTTGCCTGGTAGCAGTGGTATTACAATAATACACAACACCCAAATAACACACATTACACAAAATAACACACCACACTCAAACAAAACACAGCACACAAAACTACACAACCAACAAAGGACATACTAGCACACAGTAAATACAACGAAAGTACACTTAGAATTACAACAACAATTATATGAATTAATATTAATAAAAGAATAAGTATACGTACAGTATACACTAAATAATAATTGGTACTGGAGACATGTCTTTTTGAGAAGCCGCCAGTTGTGCAGCTACTGAAGAATGTCGCAACATTTAATGGAACCCGAATGTTCATTACCGTTTTCACAAGAATTAGACCAGAATGGTGTGAATAATGCGTTCACTTTGTATAAAGATTCTGTATTTTCATTTTCAGTTCTAACACATCAATGCCTCAGAATCAACGGGCATCTCAATTTGTGAATCTGTGTAGGGAGAGGAGAATCATGAACATTACACGTGTTCAATGGCCCCTAAAAGAACCGCTTCATTCTGGGAATATAACTCGAGTGAGTTATTTCCAATCGATATATATATATGTAACTCGAATTTGTAACTTCTGTGTATTTTGTGAATGCGAAACGGGATTTTAGGTATGCTATATATTGCTAGGTTAAAATGTCGTGAATAATTCATGGGCCACAGTTCAGTTTCCGGGGTGGGTGGGGATGTACATGAAGGCAAGGTGAGCTGACGTGTGGTGAGGGGAACTGGGAGGGGGGGAGCGTCATGAATTATGTAGCCATACTGTCCTGTCGGAATGGGCATATACTGTAATGTGAGAACGGCTGGATAAGTTTCGCCGCGTTCTTGTGGGGAGAATTTTTCCGAGACCAACAGATGGTGATGGTTGGAACTAATGTCAAGGATTTATTTAAAAAATGCAAAGTCTTCCATTGTTTTAATTAATTAAGCACTATGGTATGAAGACATACGAGAGAGTGCATGTATATGTCTACAATTCTTAACCTCGGCAACAAAAGTGGGTTGGTGGTCAGCTTCAAGCACCAATCGCTTGCCCCCAGAGAAAGAGCCCTTGGTACTCATTGGATAGGAGGCTGGGTGGGCCCCACAGCTGGTCTTGGAGATGTAGAGAAAAGAAAAACTTTCACCTGTCGTGAATCAAACCCCGGCCGTCTAGCCTGTAGCCTATCGATTTACCGACTGAGCTATCCCGGCTTACCAAGGATTTATGTACTTCGATTTTATACTTCGGCATCCTGTTGCATTGTGGCATCATTTTTAGTTCGTAAGTATACCGTCTCCGCCGGTCACGGTAGCCGAGCGGTCTAAGGCATGAACTGCCTTCGCTCGCTTGGAAACCGGGATCGTGGGTTCGAATCCCACTCAGGGCATGGATGTTTAGTTTGTGTGTGTGCGTTTTTCTGGGTTTGTCTACAGGTAGAGGCCTTGCGAGGAGCTGATCAACCGCCCAAGGAGTCCTACCGAATGTGTAAGATCTAGAAAAACCGAAGTGAACGGAGAAGTTCATGGAGGTATGCCTAGGCCCACTGGGGCTGTAGTCCAAGGGAAAAAAAGTATACCGTCTATAATTGAACAATAAACTCGTATAAAAGACACTAACATATATTTATTACACTAAAAGTGTTGGTTGAATACTTTAAAATGTCATTAAACTTCTACATTCATTCCTTGTTGCAACATGTTTCGGCAACACATGGAACATCATCAGGCAACTTTTTTCTTATTTTGGGGGAGACCACTGCACTGCACACTTGGTCTTCTGTGCCCTTAGGTACATCGTTGTTTTTGCTGTTAGTTGCTTTTGTAGGATACTACCATTGTATATTTGACAGATATTTCATTGTTTTATGTAGTTTAGTTTACTGTGTATGCACTAAAAGCATACACAAAAAACTAAACACAAATTCTGTTTAAAATCAAACTCCGTGGCCTGTAGTCCGCAATTGAACTATACCGACCAAGCGACCGCCGCTTGTCGGTGAAGTTAGTGCCAATTTATGCGGATAGGGTGTATAACTTGGTCAGCGCAACGAATCCCCACGGCCGTTAATCTCGGTTTTCTAGACCGGAGCCGCTATTCCCTTAAAATAGCTCCTCAATTATCCTCACGAGGCTGAGTGGACCCCGTTCCAGATCCACTACTTCTCAGAAAATCTGGTAGCGCCGAGAATCGAACCCGGGACCTCTGGCCATAAATTAGATATCGGAACATAATTGTTATTTAATTAACAATTATGCATCGATATCGTACACACTGAACTGCCTCTGATAACAGTAAATACGAGTAACATTATACTTTGGTTTAATGTACAGTTTGGTTTACAGTGATCAAGTCAAAGCCGAACTTATATTCTCCAAGAGCGTTTAGTGCAGACCCCACAATACAATATTTCGTCGTAATCAGTTGACTATTATCGGAGATGAAGGTACACACAGGAACAAATTTCTTATCAAGCACACAGCAACGCATAAGAAACTGAAAGCCCGGCTAGAGCCCATATAATAACCATAGAATTACATGAAACCATCTCTCTAATATGAGTTCACTTCAAACAAATACCACTGTAAACTCAACTCAAAGCCTCCATTTTGGCTGAAACCCATATGTGCATTTTACTATTACATTTATACAAGTATTCAAAGTATCACCGTCCTGAACACCCTATATACATACATATACACATACACAATGTCTGAGGAGAAAAGGCCAATATTCTGGGAGGTCACAGTTTCGGTCATTCTAAGCACAAAATGTATTTATACATGTATCCTATTCCGAACGGTTTCCGAGATACAGTTATTCCACATACAATTCCAAAACTGTTGATAAGAAAGAGATATTACGTACTGTTTCTAATACCGGTATTTACTGTTCAAGTGACAAAGTTGGTACAGTTTAATGAGTATAATATATTTTCGAAAATTCCACCGTCAACACCAGTTCACTCTGCAACTCGTGTGAGGACATG